TAAAACAGGTACAGATTCACTAGCTGAACAGAACTCAGCTCCTGTCCTGTTTCTCAGTATTTCATACCCTTTGGTTTCCATCAACGCACAAGGCCATAGAGAGTGAAAGGCTCCATCTTTTCCTGGCTGTTGAATGTCAGTGAAAAATACATATGCCCACTACAAACTGAAGTTATCAGTGCTTTCTTTGAAGTAGTACACCTACAAAACTTAAAAAAATTAAAAGTGCAAGTTTCACTATGAAATCTTCACTGTTGGTTAAGACCTGCCCAAGAGCTATCTCATGTCCAACCCCCAGTTCCCAGGTGCAGTGAGAATTCTGCAGTCAGCATCTCGGATGTCTCTCAGTCCATGTTCTGAACTGTACCTGTGTTTTGCTTTAATTGCATTAACGTTCACAGCCACACACGTTTTCAGACTTCTTACAGCCACGAGCACAAAAAGCACATGGGTACGTCAGGGCCTTTCTGTAGCTTTGGCTAGAGAAACAGTGCTGTTAACCCACCTCTGAAGTACTAGCAGATGGCCTAACGTGACGTGACCCCAACCCCTCCTCTCCTGAGGGAGGTAAGTGGTGAGGAATAGCTACTTCTTCAAATGAAAAGAAATCTCATCTTTCACACACCACAGGAGGTAATAGCATTTTTTCCCCCCACCCCCATCTCTTACAATATTCTGACACAGTGACACATCAGCTTTGTTGCAGCGATGTGCCAGCAGTACTGGTCTGTCACTGTCCAACACACACAGCCACCACCATCAGCAGTTATCAAACAATCAGAAATTCAGCTCTTCTGAAGAAAATTACTGTACATCTGTCTCTGTGGCGCAATCGGTTAGCGCGTTCGGCTGTTAACCGAAAGGTTGGTGGTTCGAGCCCACCCAGGGACGAGCATCCTTTTAAGGGCCGGCAGGACCCTCACGAAGCCCAACAAGACCTGCCCCTGAGGGGGCACCAGCCCAGGCACCCCTAGGTGCTGGGGGCCACCCTGATGGGAAGCAGCTTAGGAGAAAAGGCTGTGGGGGTCCTGGTAGACACCAAGTGACCATAAGCCATAAAAGTGCCCATGCAGCAAAGGCAGCCAACAGGCTCCTGGGCTGCACGAGAAGGAGCAGTGCCAGCAGGTCAAGGGAGGTGAGTGATGTTTGCCCTCTCCTCAGCACTGGTGAGGCCACACCTGGAGTGTTGCGTTGCGTCCAGTTCTGGGCTCTGCAGTACAAGAGAGACATGGACATACTGGAGAGAGTCCAAGGAAGGGCCACAAAGATGATTAAGGGTCAGAAGCATCTCTCCCATGAGGAAACACTGGAACTGTTCAGCCTGGAAAAAAGAAGGCTGAGGGGGGAGGATCTTATTAATGTATATAAATGCCTGAAGGGAGGGTGCAAAGGGGACAGAGCCAGGCTCTTTTCAGTGGTGTCCAGTGACAGGACCAGAGACAATGAGCACGCACTGGAGGTTCCCTCTGAACATGAGGCAACACATTTTTACTGTACAGGTGACGAAGCACTGGAACAGGTTTCCCAAGGAGATTGTGGAGTCTCCCCCCTTGAAGACATCCAAAAGCCACCTGGACATAGTCCCAGGCAACCGGCTGCAGGTGTCCTGGCTTGAGCAGGGGGGTTGGACCAAGTGACCTCCAGAGGCCCCTTCCAACCTCAACCAGTCTGTGATTCAGGCTACTGTTCAAGAGAAAAATTTAAGTCAAATCACATCTAGGCAGATGTGATCTCTGACGCCTGGCACTCTGAGTATCCAATTAATCTAGAACTTCAACTTCGATTTCATACCAAGCTCAGGCATCGTCAGTATATAAAGTCCAACTCTTGCTTCCATACACATCCTTCCTTCTGTTCTTCTGGATGACACCTGCCCACAGGCTTTGTGCCTTTGTCATACCTACCCTGAATTAAAATAATTCACTATGTTTGAAGCTGAAGTTCAGAGATGATACATAATCTCTAACCAATATAAGATATTAATATATACACATACATTATATTTCTATATTGCCTTATTTTAATAAAGTATATTAATTATAACAAAATGTTTTTATTATATTAGTGTGTTTACTACATGGCATATTATATAATAGTTATATATTTTGTGTATATAATGTATTGTACATTAAATGTATTATATATATTATTAAAACTCCCTTCACAGTTTGGGCAGCTGCTACTGCTCTTCCCAGTTTATGGCTTTGGTCCTAATCCTCAGCAGTAACGAGAAGCTCCAGGTCTAGCTATGTTGAAGAATAAGTTTCATGCTATCATGAACATCTTGATAGCCACACTTCTCGGATCAGAAAGTCCAGCCTGACAAGCATTAAGAACTGTGAACCAAGCACTCCTGTCAAAAGGACCCAACCACAAGACTTGTTCCCAGAACCATGTACATCCAGAGCTGATCATACATAGAAAACAGCAGAAAAGTTTCCTTCCAATCATGATTTGATGCTTCTATTTTAAGGTGGTTTTTTTGTTTGTTTTTTGTTTGTTTTTGGGGTTTTTTTAAAGCTTCTAAAATAAAGAACTAGAGCCCAAGAGTTCCAGAACTTCACTAGGCATTTTGCTATCATTGTATGTAAAACATGCATAGATGCTACAGAAATAGTAGCATGAGAAAAAAAAAATCTTCAGTAGCTTAGCACCATAACTCCAACAGAAAGGACCAGATGTTACCCTGGCACAAGGACAAGGACAAAACTCCTTACTCTTGCATTAAAATCAGCCACAGAACGTAAGCATGCAGTAGTTTGGAAACACACCTTCACAGTTCTTCGCCTGTATAACCCTTCATCAATTTTTAATTAAAGGTGCCACAGGTACTCAAGAGCAAGATATGTGGAAACCTTACAAAACTTGAAACAGTTTTAATGGAGAGCTTCTCTTTTTTTCCCCAAAGCTAATGCTGTTGGAAAGTGACCAGGAAAAACACCTTATATTTTGCCCTTGAAGGCTCAACTAGCTCTGAAAACCATGCAACAATCTGTCTGGCAACATGAAAAAGCTCATACTAATGTTGCTTCTTGACACCTTCAGGAAGGGCAGCAAGACACTGAAAACTACTCCAGGAGCTTTCAAAAAGCTAGCCCTTATGGGCTGGATGCAGCACCTTGAACATTTATATAAATCCTCCGTAGCTAAATAGCAGTAACTTGTGCTGATCACAACACAGGCTGCCCAAGTTTTGCAAGTGTTTGAAAAAATGCATCCAGTTCAGCCTCAAAACATGTATTTATTACACTAAACTATGGGGCAAGATCAGAAGGATTACTGTAGCTCACTGTATATCCTCCAGGCTACTGGCGAAGAAGGGAACTAACAAAGCGAAGCGCACAGAGCGGTTGCCACTGCAGTATGCGATGGCAGAGAGCACACCACTGTTTCCTGACGTTCTGCCAAGACTGATGAGAGTCATCGGTATTGTTTGGGGACTCACTGAACTCAGGTTTTCATTTTGTTAAGACTTACTTTGAGCCAGCTGTTGATCTCATTATTGCAGCAGAACAGGAAAAGTGGTGCTGTAGTTTGGATAAAAGCCGCACTAGCAATAAAAAAACCCAAAACTACGCATCTTGAAATCTCCACCAGAAGCCTGTCCCACCTCCCTTTTTAAAACAGTGAAAGAAGAAATCTAAGACAAAACTGTAACAACACTTAGTAGTATTCTCAAGTGTTAGCTCAAGAAGATGCAACTGCTCTGTCATATTCTTCCAGGCTAGTGTAAAGACTACAGAAAACCTCTGCCAGCCACAAGTACTTAACTGCTAGAATATTGACTACAGAGTAAATAAACTGGAAACAACTTCAGTTTTAACTGTCTTTCATGATCATGTAAGATTTTGCAGTTATCTCATTCTGGGTTAGTATTTTCTTATAAAACTACCTGCCATGGAAATGGACACATTCTCATTAACTGATGAAGAGCAAAGAATAGCTATCTCCATTATCCCTCAGCTACCTACAGCAGTAGACTGAAGGATCTCTTGTGCACGCTTCTCTGACTGCAAGACTCAGTATTCCACAAAGACATAGGCTTTAATCAGTATTAAGTAGAAGTTATGATACAGCTTGCAATAGCTTCAGATATGCCTGCATTACAGCTACAACAGTGAAAGTGCACTTGGAGATAACGGTGATACAATTCTAACCAGCAAAGAGAAAAAAAAAAAAAGCTTTGTAAGTATGGGAACAGTCTTATTTGAAAGATGGTAGCTTCATCCTGCCCTCCCTCCCATAAAAAAAAAAAGAGAGCGAAGAGAAAGGATTGGGAGGGGAATGTAGTAAGAGTAACTGATGCTAAATTTGCTCTAACAAATACTGGAAGCACAGGAATCCACCCCTGCAGTACATAGTTTCATGACAGAGCAATGAAGAAAGGTGGTGAGACTCTAGGAAAAGCCATTCCTCAGGGACATAACCAAACATGCTTAAAAGATGAAGAAGACAGAACAGCTAGTTGCAAGTCAATTAGAAAACATCCGGTTTTAAAAAAAAAGAAAACAAACAGCTGTCTAACTGCTCTCAGTCTTACTAAATATGCTGTTTCAGAGTACTCCTCTCCCCAGAAAAATTTTGCAGGCAAAGAGGGAGCAAATGACTTGATTCTTTTGCAGAACAATACTCACTATTCAGAGTCCCCTGCAGTTCCTCCCTTTGACAAGAGCTGTCAGATCTGGCAAAGGCAGAAAGAAAGATAAATCTGGGCCCCGTGATAAAAGGGCCTTTCGTGAGAAACTGAAAAATAAGTCTCTTCTCAACATAGAGATGCACCCAGACTAGGGGGAAAATAGGTATGGAAACGAATTACAGGCATCTGCCAGCATTATGACACTTGCCCAATATTACTGAAGTAATACTAAAATAATTGTTATTCAGAGTTTTAATGCTCCGAGTTTCCTCTAGTGCTAGCCTAGAAAACCCAGAAATCCTTTGATCTGAATGCTAACAAACAAGATTTGCTCAGCCCACATATTCTGCATGAAACAGTAACACAAATCTAACATTTTAATACAATATGTATGTATATTTAATATTAATTACATTTACATATTTAAATTATCCTACTACATTAACAATACTATAGATACAATATTTGGTAGAAACTAGCAGAGCTAAGTCTTCAAATTTTGGTATTGTTTTCTAGCAAGTGTAAAACAGAATAGAAAAAGTTTCCGTGTGAAGAATAAAGTGTATTTTAACAGAAGTAGCCAAGACCTGCTGCAAAATACAGATCACGTATGCTGACATTTACACAAAACCTTGCAGTAATAAAAGGTAGTCATCACTATATTTACAAGAAACTGCCCAATAGTTCAGTTACTGATTGCACTATAGTGATTATTCAAAAAAAACCAAACCCACAACAACACAGAATCCTTGTCTCGTCCTTCAGAAATCAGAAATAATTTGTCTGTAAGAAGTGACCTTGTTTAAACTGTACGTGCTAGAAAATATACAACTCTACAATAGGAAGAGGTTAGAAAAGTTGAATACTGTGGAAAAAAAAATTTATTAGTCTATACAAGTCTTCTGAAACAAACCATTGGCTTTGATACAGTAAATTCAAGTGAATACTCATTGCAATAGTATTTTTCCATACAGAGATCAAGAAGCCCTACAGCTTCTCATTTAGTGTCTGTAACAGGAAGTTGTATTTCTGAACAATTAGCCGCACAAAGCAGACATGTGATAAGAGATCTTCACAGCCACAGTGAGCTACAGTTTGAGATAAAGTTATATTACAAACATTTAGGAAAATTAGGCATCTGTACTGAAGTGTGGCAAATTGCTTCACAATGAAAGAACAAAGATGTCATTCAGACCCCTTGCCAAAAATGAAGACTTTCTACAGCAATTCTAGAGCAGACCGCATCATAAAAACCTAGAGTGCAAGAGTACCACAAATTTAGTATATAAATATCACAGGATTAAAACTCCAGTTAAGCCACCAACTGAAGTGATAATTAAAAATAAAAATGGGTGTCTCCCAGCTTTGCAAAGGAAGCTTTCAAAGCATCTCTTCAAGAAGGTGCTGATACCAACTATGACCTGTACCGATTTTTACCTTAGACAGCTCTGCTGAAAGACAAAAATTTAGCAGATTTGTCTAAGAATTGTATAATCTTGCCTTTTTTTATACCATAAAAAAGCATTTACTGGAAGAAATGAAATGTAACATTTATAGCTCACACTGTTTTCAAGATCTGTGCACACTATATAGTTCTATCATTTCAAGAGTATTTAAAAATAAGACAGAGAGCAGACAATGCAGTAATGTGTTTGTTAGATGGATTTGTTTAGAGTAGTTACATGATGAATGTATACAGTCATAAAAGTTGTAGTGCATTTGTTCTTGCACATTATTTATGCTACTTATAAAAACCCGAAGATTGCAAATTGGGCATGCTTACCATAACATTTTCAAACTGGGAAAGCTGCAGAACATTTTTCCTACAAGTGTTCACTGCCATGATACAAAACAAGTATGTGCAAACTGCAAGGTCCCTAAAAATAGCATTTAATGAATTTATGTACAGAAAGATGTCACTATCTGTTTAAATATGCAAAGAATAAGCTTCCCAAAGTTTATAACATAGAACAATATCCACCACATCCTCCTCCTCCTCCATATCCTTCTTCCTTGTTTGATAGCTTTACACCTCTGTTTTGGCTCTCACTCTCCCACAGTCCAGGAGTCTGAATGATTTTTTCAACAAGTTCTTCAAAAGCACACTGTACGCCATCGCATGTTTTTGCACTTGCCTCTGGAGAAGGGATGCAAAAAGTTGAGTGTTAGCATAGCTTCCAGTAACTTGTTTAGTATTTCCTTCAGTTAAGTCTCAACCTACAACCTAGACTCACAACTTCTACAATATATTCTATAATAACATAACAGTGCCAAAATTAGCAGATTTCTGTCACCCCATAAGGCAGCACCTCAAAACTCTTTAATAGAAGAGCTTCCAAGTTGAATGTCAATAGAATATATGGAGACAGCTATAGCTTAGCTTTCTTTTTCTTTGGAAAGCACTTCAGTAAGAAGAAAGGAGAGTTCTACTAACTCAAGATGTCTGGTAAACCTGGCTGCTGTTCTGTATTTCAGTTCTGTATATTAGTCAAAACCACCATACCATAAGAAGCAAGGATCCATACTGTAGGATTCTAGGTCAGCCTCCATGATACAACTCATCTGATAAAAAGCAATAAGGGATCTCACTTCTTCCACAGTTAACAGAATTCTAGGCAATTTCACTCAGAAGCCTTACTTGGCTAAGCCCAAGAAATTTGCTCACAGCGTGTGAGAGCAACAGATACCATCTGAAACTGTTCAGTCCAACTAGGGCTTGCCCTGTTCTTCTACACAGCCGTGCAGATTCTTAGCATATTTAGCATGCAGATATATATATTTAGCTATAGTTCAATTTTCATGTTTCTTTTCATCTTCCATGCACTTAGCAGCTTGTGCCTTAACTCTGAACTTTTATTTCCACATCTGACACTGTAGCTAAAGAGAAACACAGCAAGGTACTAGACAAAGGTATGTCATTAGCCAGAGACAGGAACGTAAGTCTAAGTACAGGAAATGTCAATGAACTGCTTTGCTCCTGGAGTCATCCTATAAAGTAATCCCTGCTGATCCTTAAATGAAACATGTAATAAACTTATGCATAAAGAATCACTTCACCACCCACTTTAATTTATCATTACAAGGCTTTGCCTACAAGACCCATCTCATTTTGCAGCAAGATGAGACCAACATATTTGCTCCACTCATGATTATGTCATTATTCAATCCCACCCACCATTTATAAGTTAATTATATTCCTACCTATTTTTACATCCCAGTTCTAATACAGATTTCTGTCAAGCACCAGGTCGTTTGCTATACTGAAAGCTGGCCACCGTTACCAGTTTTCCCTCTTTCATTTTGCTTCTGTTATTAACTTAGCAAGTAGGCTGGGAAAAGAAATCAGACAAAACCACAAACCTAAAACAAGTTTTGTCAGACTACAGTAGTGCCTGTATTCCACCCTTAATCTTTACACATTTCAGCATACTCATCCACAGTTAGAAGAGATATCTGGACATATTTAGGGACAACTTTAAAAAAGATGGGAATACCTATATCTTTGTACCTACTGCAGCTGAGAAATATCATTAACTGGATTGTACGTGAAAAGACTATCAGTCCTACAGAAGCAGTACTTTTCATTATGTAACAAAAAACAAGTAACATCTCTGCAAATATCTACAACATACCTATGAACAACATGGAATGTTTTCTTGCAAATTTGAGACCTTCATTTCTGTCAACTTCACGGTTTTCCTATAAGAAGACAGAGCATTAATATGCACGATTAACAAAATACACCAAGAGATTACTTACTGCAGTTGAATTCAGTTTACCTTATCGATCTTGTTTCCAACTAGCATTTTTACTATGTCATTCCTTGTGCAGTATGTTTCCAGTTCATTTAACCAGTTATCCAGCTTGAGAAAAGTATCTCTTCTCGTGACATCATAAACTGAAAGATATTACCAATATTATTTCCACAATATTTTTCCAAGAAATACAGCTTACATTACAAAAGGAGCAAAAATTATGGCTTTTTGAATTAGAAAACTGAAGGAGGACCAAGGACTCCAATTTACTTACTACAGCAAGACAACAATTGTAAAAGAAGTTGAATAGCCACCAGCTCAAATCATTGATGATACTAATGCAGAATAACTCTAAGATGCAGTCATCAACTGTTCTCAGACTAATTTATATTGAGACATCCTAGCTTACAGGCTAGACACTATCATTCTCCAAAGAATTCTACACTTGCAGACCCCTGACGTAGGATACTTACTAACATCACTACACAAACTGAGTTAATTAGTGATAGTTAAGACTTGTATAACACTTCTGCTATGCTACTGATTTAACTAAAAAAGTAAACTGATCACCAAATCCTCAGAAGTACCAGTGAACTACTGAATTTTCAGCATTTTAGTGTTTCAAACTATTTAGCATTTGTGTGGAATATAAGTAATATAATAAGCCATGCGAGGAACAAAAAGGGCAGACAAAAAGCAGACCTTGATAAACCTGAAACCCACTACCCAGCAACTATCTAATAGCTACCATTTCAAGTTATGAAAGCATTTTTTCCTTCATTCTCACATCCCATGTGCAGACAGGCATAAACAGTCGGTTTCAATCAAATCTATAGCTTGGCTTGCATGAACAACCTTATTTTTAGGAAGTCGTTTAACAAAGAAATAGTCAAGAGAAGATTATCTAATAAAACGAGAGAGCAAATCTCAACAGCACAACTTTCTAGCTCCCAAACAGTGTTTGCTTACTTTTATCGCTTTCAACAGTAAGTGGCAGGTTCAGTGCCAGCAACTAAGTGACTTGACAAGACATGCCTTCACAGCACCTTCCTATACCAGGAAGACAATGCAACTCAGGCTTGGGAAACAGTACATACAAAACAAAACCTACCGGAAGTCTCATGACCAAGGTTATTCCAAGTTAAACGATTTAACTGGACACAGTAACTTACCAAGAATCTCTCAAGTCAGACACAACTTGAAAAAAAATTATACTTACTTCCCTGCTCTTATTTTAGTTAGCTCCTCAATTCTAGCAGTGAAGCAGAACTTCAGAGCTCAGTGCCTAGTTAACAGGTTTCCATATACAAAAGCAGCAAACATGACTTCACTGTGAAGCTGCAATTATGGGGTTTGGCCTGGGTTTCTCCCACACAGAGTGATGCTTTTTATGCTCCCAGCTAGTCTTTTCTATGTGATTCTGACTGCATAACATCCCATCAGTATGGAGATACAAACAGCAAAAAATCCCAGCCAGACTCCACAGTGTTTATATTAATTTCAATAAGAAAAAGGAATAGGGAAAAGAAAGAGAGAAAGCTGTACACATACTGATACAGAAAGAATACACTGAGGAGAAGAGAAAAAAATTTTTTCTCTTTACTCTGGGCTTAGTAAGCACAGGCAAAAAACAAAAGTAATAAATAAAAGGCAAATTCCTGGCAGCACAGGGACAGCTCCAAGCTAAAAGCTACTGCTATTTGAAGGGATAATCTCACGTGAAAAATCAGTGGTTCTCAGGCCAGTGAGATTGTCTACATGAGAAAGAGGTCAGACATCAAATTCAAGGTCCTTTAATGCACAAATTGTTCAACACAGATATAATGATTTTTAATATCAATTAGATATTATAGAAAGGTTATACGAGTTTGTATAACTCCAGTGCATGAGAAAACCACAAACTTATTCAAAATAGCATGCAAAGCTATACTTACCTAGGATAACACCTTGTGCACCTCTGTAGTAGCTCCTGACCTGCAGTATCCTAAAAAGCCATTCAGAAAGTTCCATTATTCAGAATTTAAGCAGAACCTATTTAGATCTTGGGTATTCTGCTCCTAATACACATACAAAATAAGATTCAAAGTATATTCAACTACCAGATTAACGAAGTTTATACCCTCCCCTGCTGTTTTATTGCACATTAACTTTGAGGTTTTATGTAGTCTGTCTTGGGAAACATCTTTAAACTGTTAGGTGTAGTAAATAACTAGACTATATAGCAATAAGATAGCCATTTACACAGAAGCATTTGTTCTGCAGCTAGTACGACAGCAACCAGCAAGACAGAAGCATAGCTGCAGTACTAAGATTTTGTAACAAGCATCAAAACCCATGGCAACAAAACCAGTTCCCTCACTTCAATCACCTTAGTCCAATTAAATTTGATTCAGTGCCAGGGTAAATGCATTTAACATGCTATGACAGAGCAGAAGCAGAAGTAAGTCAGACGTTTTTCTGATTTTAAGTAAAGTTGAATTTACATCCTCAAATACAGCGTCAACAGCTCTGCAAAAAAACAAATATTAGAATGCTATTTTCTTATCAGAGGTTAAGTTATAGCTCATGCTCATTGTGAACTTTATGCATAGAAGACTTAAATAACTTCATCCAAGTTACCCCGGGTTAGAAGCAACACATGAAACACTGTGGATTCAAAATGGTTCCCTGCCAAAGAACCTGAATAACTGAACTGGACTTCCAACATTCTACAAGTCACTCAGTCAATCCCACACATCTCAAACTGGTTTTGTGTCATGATGCACATTTACAAGCTTTTCTTTTCCACTTTACCTCAGAATTATTCCTTCATATTCACCAAGATGCAAGAAGATAAACCCTAAGTTAGTCCTATGTAATATTTCCCATTCTATGATCACTCATCATTCTGCTATTAGCCTGGTTTTTCTCCTATATGTCTATTTGTCTGTCAAGTTGTTGCAGTTATTTTCCTTGTCAAACCCATTTATTTTAGTGATGATTACTATTATCACACTGAGACATAAGTCCTGTTTGTTAGTTGAGATATTAAACACCCTCAAAGCAGCAGAAGTATTGCAATGTATATTCCACATTCCACTACTACTGCCCAAGGAAGTAAAGGTCAAGTATCTTGATTATATGAGAAACAAGGTTTTATTCTTGCTTGCTACAAGAAGTCACAACTGGGTCTGAATATTCAAAAGGTGCTTCAAGTGACACAAGTGTGGAGGCTGGTTCGCAGAATGGAGAACGTTTAAAAAAAAGCTTGGACTTTTTCTTTCTTCACTTGCCATGAATTTAGAAGTTCTGCTTTTAACTAGAGTAGATGTTGAACACTAAGGCTAAGATTACAAACACTGCCTCTCCCTCTTTCAGCCGCATCTGCTACAAATAACACCGACTTCAAGCCTATAAAAGTCTTTGTATGAGGGCTACGAAGTTTTTAGGCTAAAAACTGTTCTGAGAGGTAACATTTAAGCACAAATTGAACATGCAACAGTAATTCTTAACCTATTAATACACTACTAAATTTTGCCTAAAACGTTTAGGTTAAGAAGTGCACCCTTTTAAAGCCTGCCAAGTAAAGCCAAGAATGATATATACAGGGAAGTCTCAAATTAGTGAGGGCTAACTTTTTAGAAATTAAACAATGAATTACTCATTTAAAAAAAAAATCTAGGAACAGCCACATTCACAGTTTTAAAGTGCAATTGATTTAGTACCATTTTATTCCTCTTTTTCTCTACTCCTATCCCAACCAGACCTGGAATCACTGCTGCAGAAGCAGCTCATAGGCAACACAATTGCCCCATTAGCCAGCTGCCCCACAGCTCATTCCACCTTCTGAATGGTTCAGTATTAGCCTCCCACTCCCCCAAATTGCCTCCATATTAAATAGAAAAGGATTCTATACAAACTGTACATTATACAAGCTATCACCATTCCCAAAGGAAAGCAATACATTAAGAACTTGAGAGACTTACCCATATTGCCAGTTTAGCTTTGTTTCCATCAACTGAAATAGTTTTCACCTTGAAGTCCACACCTAGAGGAGGAAAAATATTTTAGTTCTTCAAACATACTACAGCTGTTTTGAAACAGAAAAGAGAAAAAAAATCAGAAAACAAGTTGTGAGGAGCAGGAAGAGTAAGTTTCATTAGCTATTTGTGAACTTTGCTCAAAACTCAAGGTTTTGTTGCTGAAAGGCTTTTGCAAAAGCCTAAGGGCCTTTTAAGCCATTGATTCAAAGTACTTTATGGAAGGCAAATACTACATTTCCTGTATTAAAGCACGTATTCCAGGACAAATATTCAAGTTTATAATTCAAATGGATTACCTTTCTATTCATTACTCATACATGTGTTCTCCTTGAGTACGTCTGTGGTCTTGAGGAACAACATACTTTCAAAATAAAGAAGGAAGCTGCATTCAGGTAGCTATTTGCTCTGTTTCCCTATCAAACAATCTGACCAAGTCCCATCAAGCTGATCATGCAGAGGTAAACCGATATAGACAGAGACTCATCTACTACATGATCACTATCCTGTGAGAAATAATGTTAGATGACAGTAATTCCTCTAGAACATGTTAAATAAGCTTCGGATGATTTGAGCACGCAGTATCTCTCTTACACAGACTCCAGCAATATCAGGGACTCGCCAATACCGTGTTCAGTGACCAAGAAAAAAAAAACAGACAACATGGTAACAGTATGCTGTTGATAACAGTCATCTACCTCAACATCTGACAATCCCCCCCCCCCCTTTTTTTTTTTAAATACACAGAAACTAGCAGCCTATCACTTGCCCAAGGACAAGCTTCACAAAACTCAAGCCAAGAAGGACAAGATGTTAATGACTGTGCAAATTTAAAGGATATAGCAACATACATCAGATTGAGAGGCTGGGTACAATTATGATCTATTTTTCTGTAATGTAATCCTTAGGTTACCAACAGCAAGTAACTGGAAGTACGGTTAAATTATTTTGGAGTGACTCGCACTCCCCACAAGGCAGCAGCCCTGAAATGAAGTAGTCGTGTGGAAAGTTGGTACCTTTATATGAACAACTTTCAAATGTAACAGCAAACATTTTGCACTTTGAGTTAAAACGGTAGTGATCACACTTGCTATAAGAATAAGAATTTCTGTTTTAACTATTCTAACACAAGATGTTTAAGTATGGCCTCATGATAAGTGTACAGCCATGCAGACTACAAACAAGTGCAAACAGCTGCCAAAATATGTTCCACTTAAAGTCACACAGGGTATATAAGATGCTTAAGAAACTGCACACTGCAAACAGATTTATGGCTTCACTGCAACTGCGGTTTAAAAGAGCTTTGTTTAAAAAAAAAATACACACAATTTTTATTCCACTGTTTCACAGCTTCAGCTCACTAGTGATCCCTGAAGTGTCAAGTGATTTTCAGACTACATCCTGCACTGGAAGAAGCCCATACTCTTTTCAAGCAAAATTTTGCCAAAGAACATTAACTTTTGCAGTAACTGAACAGAACTCTGTTTTTTCAGGGATTAAGACTCTTAGTAGTCTTAGTAGACTTAGCAGTAATATAATGCTCCACACCATGCGCAAGGATGGTACATTATTCTAGAGTTCTGTTCAGAGAAAACAGTCACTATTAACTTTGTTTTAAAGTTCTTGGAACTTTACCTCGTTCATAGAAGACTGCTATGCTAGCAAATTGACTCAAATTGATCCTAAAGAACATCCTGTCCTGCCAATTTTTCAGCACTCAGCAGTAACTTCTAGACTAACAGAATCTCTTCTTCCTTCCCTAAACTGTGAAAATCACCATTGCTCAGCCAGGATGTCCAACAGCTCACAGCGCATTCTTTTATCCATTAGTCTGACATCAAAAACTGTAACTGTAGATATTGTAAGTTTATCAGATACTTAACAAATCAGAAGTATGTCATAGTAGTTTCAAGAAGGAAAACTACTTTTGCTTAAGACAAACATATTAGGTGTATTTTGAAGTCACCGTATCCTTCTCCTATTCAGTAAACAGAATCAGAATCTTGTACTTGCACAGTTCTGCAATTTTCATTTAACAGAAAGTGCATATACACCTTTACGTTAGCCTTGCTGCTGGCTTAAAATTAAAAGATAATGCTTTAAATTCTTCATGAGCAATGCACGTAAATTAAGAAACTAAAATAGTGAATAAACCCCATGTGTTAGACTGATTATCGAAGAGCAGAAGCATGAAAATGAACTAATAGCACACCAAAATATATCCTTTAAAGTGACCAAGAAGTGGCAAATTAATTCTAGTAAACCAAGGAGCTCAACACACACAAAAAGCCAGTTAACAAAAAGAAATCTTCTAAATACCTAGGTTTTTTATTATCAACCTGCCATAAAAGAGGACAAGTAGAAAAAACGCAGGGCTCAAGAAAATCTTGTTAAATTGAACAAACTGGATACTTATGTTCCCTAAATACTTCAGTGAAATACAGACATGTTTGTGTGACAGGTGTCAGTTCTGAGCTTGCAAGAGTGATGTTTCTACCCTTCACAACAGAAAGCTGACAGTGTTTTCCACCATGCCTTGGAAGGCAGCCAGGAACAAGACAGCACTACTAGACTGTACTCCTGTGTGTTGACACCTACTGCCTCAGCACTACACACTGAGATACTATGGACTTACAGTCTGCAAGGAACAGCTCTGTCACCTTCATGCGGCTCTCGCGCTTAGGCCAGTATGCCACGCTGTATTTACAGGAAGTGCAAAATCCGCTAGAGTGTATTATTTGTGTTGTAATTAACTGACAAGTTGGACAGCTTAAAGTTGGAGGACTCCAAGTACAAGGAAGGCTAAAAAGTTAAGAGAGATCAGATCTGTGCAATACATCACTTAATGAAACAGGGATTGCACTGAACACTTATCTAGAATCTCTCATACAAAAGGCAAGCAAGTAACGACTAGCATAGGCAGTAAGGACAACAGAAAATATAGGGGTATATACAGTCTGAGGAGATTCACGTGATGAAGCCCAGTGAAGAAGTTAGCCTCAACAAAATGCAAGGACGGGCAATCTGCTAGGTTGAATAAAACACAGTTAATCCAACTGAAGCTACTGAAGTCAAACTATTTGCCCAAGGGAGCTTATTCTTCTGAGAATACCACAGGATTTTTTACAAAATTCTGAAATAAAAAACCCACAAAACAATAGTTTAGGGTTTCATTTAAATTGCACCAGTAGGTTTGTGCAAGCTACAAAGATCAGGTACATCTCAACAGGGGCAGGGGACCAGCCGTCCTGCAGCCAAGGCTTTCCCCAGTGTTGTGGTTTTGTGTGCAGTTGTTGCTTGTTTTGGTTTTTTTTTAAACATATAGCATGTTATCTCTTCACTTTCTAATCCAAATTAAAAATATAGTCACTTTAACCAGTTCAGCAATCAGTATGTAGAAGTCATTGAAAGATGACATTATTTGTAGTCAATCCGTTCATTTTGGAAAAGCACCATACTCTGCAGTCTCAACAGGAAAGCCTTAAAATTATTTAAAAACCTCTTCCGTCCCCAAACTCAAAACGAAATAGTGTTTAATCAGCACAAAAAGAAATGCAGGTCAAGATTCACAAAGTGTTTTGGCATTTCACCATCTTGCAAGTACCAGAATTTGGCATCTAGGATCTGCCTTCATGCAGCAGGAAATAGTTATCTCTAAGAACTCACTCCAAGTACTTTATATGTATGCACAACAAATCCTGCCCTGAATTTAAAGCTGACATGTTGCTTCTTAGCAATACATTCACCAGAAAAATGGCAATGCCACAGCCTAGTAATTTAAAAAAAAGGAAGCAAATAAGAACAACACAGATTCTGTTCCCCTTCCAGTTAAGTGGGAAAAAAAAAATTAAAAGCAAAGAATCTGCTATCCCACATGAGTGCTCCACACACCATGCTATAAGACTTTCACAGTTGGGGTCACAGTAGCTCTACTGCACAATACTACTACAAACATCAGCTAGAGGGGCCTAACAGCTAGGGTGATCTAGGCCAGCATTTGCTCAGTCTCTAGAAACTTCCTTTTCCTACCAAATGACCATGTTCATTCTGTATTAGTAAGTCTGTATTATCTCAGAACTCAAACTCTATTTGAAGTAATGCTCACATTGAGTACTCTCCCTCCTTTTCCACATCAGAAACAGAGCAGGGTAGCCCTGCCAGTAGATCCTACTACTGGCAGAGTAGGATCTGCCAGTAGTAAACCTTGAGTTGTTGCTATTTAACAGCCAACAATTAGCTACCACACATGCTGTTGTCCATTTGACAAATCCGAAAGAGGAAGAATTACTTCAGGAAATAATTCCTTTGTTTCTCAAATAGTGCACTGATGTCAGTTTTTGACAGTGGTAAAGAATATTATGTATGAACAGGAGAATAAAAAAAACCCTCACAATTAAAAACAAAAAAGAAACCCAATAAAGATGCCCACACTGAGACTGAACTAGTCTACTGGTATCCAAAACATCATGAAAGCTGAAATAGCTATTCTGCACTGACCTGGCCCACATGTTGACATACCAAGAAAGTAATGTGATTTGAAGTCTATACAGTGCCAAAACTATTTAAATTAGAATACAAGATGGCCATCTTCACCACCTGGTCTGTTCCATTCCTGTTTCCTTCCACCCTATCCTCCCTCATGAACTGAAGTAGGGCTACTGGCACCAGTTCATTTTCCACGAGCAATGAAACAAACATGAGGCCATGCTCCGCCCCTCAGCTGCTCAGTGCTTTACATGAAACCGTACTCCTGTATCTTATTAACATTAATGAAAAATAGATCAATTTATTGACTTCTTAACCAATTAGACAGAGCTGGCTTTGTTTACCAACAGCTGAACTCAAAGAAAAAATTTGATACAAGTCCTTAGCCAGAACTCTTCCTACAGAGAAAGTAAAAAATGCAATTGAAATGCATTGTGTGGAAAAGTCATCTTGATTTTCCATTACTTCAGTTATTAATTGGGCATACAGCTGCATCACATTCTTCGAAGTTTCATTTTGCTTCCTTTGACAACCATCTACATAGTGTATCCTGCATTCTGGGTCACGCTCCTCCAGCACAACTGTTGGTAGGTACGATACCAACATAGCAATGACACATCACTGCTTTTTTCCCAGCAGCTCTAGATTCTTGGCTCTCTTCCATTTTTCTCAAGAGTCTATCTGCCAAGGAACTGATTACTAGGTAGGAGAGAAAAAGCCACATTGTAATTTTCTCCCTATAGAGGAAAAGCAGAAGCCACACTCTAGGATTGTCATGAGTTGCAAGGGCTAACATCCCCTACTAAAGAGGGTCTTAAGTCTTCTGAAGATAGCTATCAACTATCATATTACACAGAACACAAGTTCTGGACAGCAATATTACTATTTAAACCACTTGATAGCTATCTTGCACAGATAAATCAGTGGGAGACATAATAGTAGCTCTTACATTTCCATTTTAGCCTGAAATGCTGGCAAACAGTGAACTGCAGGTTGTACCACTAGCACTTTTCACTGCCAATACCTATGATTTCCATCTTCATGGTGAAGGGTGACATTTATGTCTATTTTCCTAGCCAAGGATATATTTTTGCATAAAGGGAACAACTACAGGCCAGTACAGTCAGTGCTCTACACCAATGAGCGCTGCTTCTTTCCTTACAGAGAAGCAGACATGTCTTAACTTCAGTACTGGTTAGGCAAGTCTGAACAAACTACAATTTTGTACCAAAGTTGGTATAAATTTTTCTAAGGTAATATCAGCACACACTTACCAATTGTTGCTGCAAGTTCCGGGTCAAATGTATCATCTGTGAACCGCAGCAGAAGGCTGATAGGGAAGGAAGAAAAATAAGAGTTACTATTATTGCAGCATAAACATAGCTTGCCAGAAGCCTATAAATTACAAGTCTGAAAGTAACAGCAAGATCATGTAGCTAAATAAAAACACATCTCATTTTTCCATAATTTCTCTCCTACAAAAAAAAAGGGAACATGAAAATACACAGTAGACATGCTCTGCTAGAAGAGCTCAGTCCTCTTCTCCGCATCTATTACTAAGTATGTCTCTTTGAAAACAAAGTACCACACAAGTTGTCAAATCAGTTGCCTAAACAGTCACATGGTCTGCTTCTATCTTATTCTATTTTTGTTCTCCCAGAATTCAGTACAAAAGATTTTGTTTCATATTGCCTCACACAGTATTTCTGTAAGCTTGAGAAGAAAATTCCAAGTCAGCTTTTCACCCTGGAAATAACTCCTTGAACTGGGCACACAGTAGAACAGTACACCATCAGAAATAAAGACGCAGAAGTTTAAGAGTAGAATTAGCTCACCATTGTTTTACGATTTTGTATCCTTTTGCATATAAGGACTTTCACACACATAACATTTCCCCCTATCCTTTGCTATCAATATAAGAACAGCTACAACTAAGATTTACCAGCACATCACACTATTGCAGTAGGGTTCCTTGAAGAAATGCCCATAATGTCACTGTACTTGTGCCAAATGTAAATATTTTAGCAAGAGACAAAGATTCTCAGCATACAGTTTTTAAAATCACCAGTCTTATGCATCTGTGGCAAGTGTATATTACCATGTGGCAGACAGCTGTTTGCTATGACTTGACAGCTTCTATTCATTTCCAGGCTTGCATGCAAATTTAACAGCCAAGCCCTTTTTAGCATTTGGACAGTCCTGCATTGACAGAAAACTGGCTACTGAAATCCTTTACTTCAATAAGGCTGGGTGACAAATCCAAAGTTAACCACAGACCAACCTTTTTTTCCTTACTCCAGAACCCCAAAACCAAATGGTAGCTTTATTTACCAAAGAATAATTAAAATACAAAAAAAATAGCATACAGGTTTTTACTGGTACCTTCAGACAGTTGTATCAGGATGCTACTTAAGAGCAGCCATTTTTAGCTACAACCACAACTAGTTTCACTCAAAACAGACAAAATACAGAACACTCATACTGCCTCTAGAATAAAAACATCAGCTTACAAGTCTTGAGTGCTAAGCCAAGCCAACTTCTACATTCCCCACCTTTCTTCCATATGCAGATATCCTCTTCTACAAAGTACAACACACTCACAGGGACCAGGCTTAAGACACTATCTGGTTGAGAAGTCAGGACTCCAACCACTTACTACACCAAGCTAATACAAGTTTAACATCTGACCTTTCCTAGTCAAGTAATAGGTAAGTGACACAAATTCAGGAGTAGGTCAATATTAAGTTCCTGCACCTGAACAACTGTAGTGTTATCGTTTCATAGCAATTTTATTTCCTCTACATAATGTCTCTCTTAACAACTTTTCTCATATGAAGAAATAAGCATATAAGTAGGTATACAAAAACATTGTGCATGCTATCTGTCTCAGAAAAAATTCTTCCATATGGCCACATATAAAAGAGATGACCTCAACTAAAAGAAATTTGCTCTGATCATGTCTGTCACCAGCCGCCTACTGTGCTGGATTATCAATTCAGTAGCTAACTCAAAGGAGTGACTGACAGATTTTTAACAAATAAGGGTTTTTCTCCAATTAGCAACTTAAATGTTATTTAGGGTCATGGTAGAAGACTGTACAGATTACTGCCATAAAAACATCAAATCTAACATGATTAGCGTGGTACATTCCCAGATGACCTCCTGCATTTATATCCTACTTCCTTTATTAAGATAAACTAACTTTATTAAGATAAACTAACAAACACTAACAAAAAAGTTTAAAGAAAAAAAATACTAAAAGACAAAAAAGGTGATTTAGACAAAAGCCATGAAAAGGGCAGGGGGTGGGGCAGGGGGGGAATCAACCTCGAAGTCGTTGAGAAAGAGTACAATTAGTCAGCAGAAGAGTCAGGTGGTAGAACTACTTCACTGCCCAGCTTGTATGCCCTTGTCCCCCCACCTACACCCAGCGCTGGATCACTTGTGACTCTACACGTACATACTACGGACCAGATTAACCCTAAAGCGCTGTGGAGGTGTACAGGCGCACCCCTCTTCACACGACACAAGGCTGCACAGGACGCAGGAGGCCCAGATCCCCTTGGCCGGCCGGCAGAGCGCTGCTTCGTCTCGGTTTCCAACTGGGTCAGGCAGACACCCGCTCTCCCCGCCCCGCCGCGGGGCCGGCGGCTGAGGGAGGGCTGCGGGAGGGGCAGGCAGCCCGGAGAGGGGGCAGCCCCTCGCCTGCAGGAGGGCTGGCCGAGAAGGGGCGAGGAAGCCCCCCCCCGCGGGGCCGAGCCCTCCTCAGAGCAGGCCGCGCCCAGGCCGCTGAGGCAGAGGTGGGGCTGTCCAACGCGGCGCCGCGGGGGACGAGGCCGGGCCCCACCGGCGCCCCGCACCGTGGCAGGAGCGGCTGTGGGAGGCGAGCGCCCCCCTCACCTGGACTTGCCGACGCCGCTCTCGCCGATGATGAG